TCGCAAAAAAAAGTCTCCAATCTCATACAAATATACACCGGCTGGTTCCACGTCAGCTAGCAGGAAAATTTCTGTATCTAAATCGGGGAAAAAATTCGTGTTCGGTATGAAACTAGTAAAATTGTCAGCAGAACGTAGTTTCTCCTGTAATTTTTGAATACTTGATGCCGCGTCATCACCAGCTGTAGTCTGGAACATTCACAAATAGTAACTTACAGTAAATAGTTTTTAGTATATATAAAAAGTGATGGGGTATGAAAAATACCTCTTTGAAGACGAGAGCACAAAGCAAAAATATAATTATCTTCATTTTCGAAACTTAATTACGTTTCTGAGCTACGTTTAAAAATTAACTGCTTTTCGCATTTGGCACAAGCTTATTTATACACAAAATTAAAATGAAGAATTACTACGTGTTTTAGTTTAATATTTGAAATATTCGCTTATATGAAACTTTATAAAATTGCTTGTCATCTTTACATGATACGATCATTACACCTGTGTTTACCTGATATTTATTTATATTATTATTTCTAAAATTTATACCATATTGGTATGTCTTATAAGTTCAAAACACTTCTTTCGAAGTTCCAGGTGTGACGCAATACTGCACATCTGAAATCTGAAAATGATCTGATATAAATTTTAAGTGACGCTTGCAATCAAATTCATGAAAATTTTTAATTTTGCGTCGCCTCTTGAGCATTTGCGCCATGAAATTTTAATTTTTTCAGAAATGAGAGAGGCGACGTAAAATTAAATTTTTTCATGAATTTGATTGCAAGCGTCACTGAAAACTTATATCAGATCATTTTCAGATTTCAGATGTGCAGTATTGCGTCACATCGGGAACTTCGAAAGAAGTGTTTTGTACTTATATCATTTGTTTTAACATTAAATTTTATTTTTCTGTTTGTATTCTACAAATTTTTCTTATTCTTTTTTTGTATTCATATATTCATATTCATCACAAAAATATTTAAATTCATCGATTTCTTGCAATGCACGCCAATTTTTTATTTGCTTTCTGCCATACTTTTATTATTTGTTTTTACATTGAATTAGAGTTTTCTGTTTGCTTTCGATTTTTTTTTTACATTTTCAATTGTTTTTGTAAAATTTTGAAAGAAAAGGAATCTGACATTAGTTTTACGATACAAATAATTTTCGAAGCACTTTTCATACAAAAACTACTAAAAATGAGAATTTTTGTATCGCAGCCATGCCTATATGATATCGTAATTTTGTTCGGAAGGTACCCCTAATATGCGTTGAAATGTGTTCAAACTCTCGGAATGGCATTTTTGAGTGATAAAAATAACCTGTGCAAAGTTTCAGCTCATTACGATATCATACAGACATGGATTTCATACATAAATTTAATTTTTTTTAAATTTTTGTATGAAAAGTGTGTCGAAAGTTATTTATATCGCAAAAATAGCGTCATATTCGGTTTTCTCGCACCCAAAAACCCCCCATTACATATTTTTGAGTGTTTAAGAATACATTAAATATCACTTTTGGAGGAAAAATTGAATTTTTTCCATGGATGCCCATGGGCATCACACCAGACATGACACTTTACTCTATCAACCAAAGTCGCTCAAAATCTAATGGTTTCTATTCCTCGGCACCCCCAATCATCCTGCGAAGTCAGATTTTGAATTACTTTTCTTGTTTGAAAGTTATCGTGTAAACAAATTTTTGCATACAGGGTACAGGATACAGCGTACAGGGTACCACGCACATACATTGGCATGGCCAAAAAACCGTTGCTCTGTGCTTCTCTATTTTGAGCGATTTAAATTTTTTGGGGTGATTGCAATGCTTTACTGCACACAGTGGGTGTGCGGAAAAGTAAAAAAGTAACAATCGCTAATTCAAATTTATTCAATAAAGATCGATAAAATCAACTATATATTATGTGAAATGGATTTCTTGTTCGAAACAATTGTGTCACACGAAACAGAGATACGCATAATTGGTGGCAATGGAATCACTTTTAGAGTGCACATATGTCTTCTTTCTTTAGCATTTAATGCTATTACAACCATCTTCAAGAGAGTCGTTTCGAAATTATGAATTTTATATTCTGGGCTCTGACGTCAAGCACCAAAATGTGTTTTACATCAACACTTCAAAAAGAATTGCGTATCTTAAACACATTATAATTAAAAATTCCCTCATATTTTCTTATATATGCCCAGCCACCAAAGGCTCTACTTTAACAAGGTTAAAAAACAGGTTGTTTTTCACCTTTTCACACATACCAAGTGAGTTAAGTAATTCTTATAAAGAATAAAGATGCATATCATTGTTTCTTCATAACCGCGCGTGTGGATTGTAAATAAATAGAAATGTAGAAAATGTATAAAACAGACATCTGAATTATAAAAAATGTATAAATTATGGTAAACATTTTCATCGTTTTTATATTTTTCATAATGAAGAATTTAAAAATTGCTGAAAATTTCCGAAATTTTGCATATAAAAGCAAACCGATATTGTACTGTATGATCATTGATCATAATCCCAAAAAACACTCTTTAAAGTGGTTCTTTTACGATTTGAAACGCAAAATATTGAATTATTGAACAAGATGAAGTTGATTGCTTCAAGTCTTTTCGTTGTGGCTTTGGTAAGAGAAATTTGGTCTAAAACCAGTTTGGTCCTTAGTTGTTCTAAGTTTGTAATATCTTAAAAATTATGTCATTTTTTTCTAAACAGGCTTTGGCTGTTACCGGTAAGTATACATATTTTTTGGTTTTCTAATTTAAAAAAATCGGGAGTTTTATTATATTTTCAAGAAGATTTCATAAATTTTTCAATAATTTTAGAAAAACTATTCAATATAGACAAAGTAAAAGCATCGATCTCGATTTGATCTAAAGTTTTAACCCAAGACTACGATAGACTTTCTCTGAAAGTCACTTGGAATCAACCATTCGGTTCAAAATATCGAGAAAAAATCCCAATATTTTGGTCCGATTTTCAATCTCCAATGTTCTGTCGATTTTTTATGAATTTATGGAATTTAGTGAAAAACGTTTTTTTTTTTAAGTCATAAAGTACTCTTAACATTAAAGTAGTTCTTATACCTTCGAATCCAATCAAATGTCATTTATTAAAATAGGTGAAGTGGTTAAAGTGCCGAAAAGCTCTTTTAAGTCCACCGCTATTAAAAATGCCGAGACTGTGCTTCAAAAATCGGAATGGTTACAAGGGTAATAACTAGATTTTACACTATTCTTTGATCTATTCTTTTTATAAACAAACAACACATTATTAGATGCAAGCAAATGGAGGGACCCCAACATCATATCGTATTTTATGACTCAGATGATGAATCAGACTCAGAATCGGAAGAATTACATGAATTACAGTATGCTAATTTGTTTTAATTAAATATTACTTGATAAAAATTAAATATTTTCCATTATTATACAGTGATGTGGATTGCATCATTAAGGTAATTAATGATGTGAATAAATCGTTTGAAAACGCAAAAAAGAAAAAAAACTTCAACAACAACGCATTTCAAGTGTAAGCCTTGAAAAACGAACAATAATCACACAATTCGTTTCTCATAATTGTTTGAATACTTTATTTTTCCAGAAATAAGAGACATTTTGAAGACAATGCAGTAGAATTGGCCAAAATATACATTCACGAGTAAGCTTTTGCACATTGCCATTCTGAAGATGAATTGATTTATGAGTATGTTAAAATTACTAAAGGTCAACCACAGCTGCTGATAAGAAAAAAATTGAAAAAGCCTGCATGGATACTTTCCAGAGCTTAGTTGTACAGTATTTGTCAAAGTAGAAAGCCCATTAACTTGAGGAGCAAAGGATGGGTTACATTGTTTATTTATTCAAATGTCGAGAAATAATATGACGCATAATTTAAAATAGTACACCCTAAACACACATTCACTTTGTTTCATAAACTTACAATTACTCAACAACATACGTTGAAGTGTATAAATAAAGCTGTCAGCACACAGAATACCTTATGGATTTTTTTTTTCAATTTTTCAAAAATAACAGTATACATAGATGATGACGGACATGAAAATTCCGTAAGGGGGGTTGTAGGGAATGAGGATAAAATCGTTTTTTTTGCTCTTCACTTTTTTGACGAAAATCCCTAGCAAATCGGAAGAATTTTCTCGGCCAAAAAAAGTGAAGAGCAAAAAAAAGGTTCTCATTTCCAAAATTGTTGAGGGTTCCTAAAAATAGTGGGGGGGTAATCCGAACCCTAGGAACCCTCGTCATCACCTATGACAGTATAGGTAAGCAAGAAAAAAGTAATTTTGAGAAAATTCGATCGAAATTACGACTTCAATTGATAATTTAAGTCGCTTGAAAACCATTTGTATGACTTTTTTTGAGCAAATTGTATATCTGCAGAGATGCACTTACAAGAGTCCAAGTTAGCAAGCACTTCTTTGCTGTATTTTTTTTACTAAAATATAGAGATTTAGACTATGTCAAAATACATTCAATATTATGAATTTGAAAGTAAGTATAAGGAATTTTTTATAAATTTTCGAATAATGACGCTCTGAAGCAGAGTTATCTCTCTCCCCACCATCTTGCACGATGTATGAATATTTGCAACAAAACAAAAGTTGAATATTTTACATAGTTTATTTGTTGTAATACAAAAACAATTCTATGTAAGAAAAACCTCTGTGTTCCACTTTTATAGACTCTGCGTACAAGCCGTCTTTTTATTATGACCCATTCAGTTCATTCCATTGTACGTGGAAAAAAGGTGCAAGTCATTGAATTAAAATGATACGTTATTCTATTAGACAGTTCAAGCAGTGACATACGTTTTTCTTACTGAAATATTCTATAATGCATTTAAAAGTGTGATACGCACGATTAGCCAATTGCCAACAATGTAAAAATTGTTACACAGAGAGCAAAGAACTAAGACTAAGCATTGACATACAATTTTGTAAGTCACAATGTCGACGATAATAATGTTCATTTCATTTTGATTGGTTTTTAGTCACATCACATTCTCTTATCGATATTTTTATATAAAAGTTGAAATAAAAATGACCAAAGAGGTAGTTTACATTTGGAATTACTGCAACACAGTAGTTTGTCCAAGAGTTTTGAAGTAAAAGAAATGAATTTTCGTAATTTTCAATTAGACTGGAACGATCATTTATCAAAAACGACAAAATCGTCGAATATGATTTGCAAGAGTTTATTTGGATTTTTATTGTGTGCTTGTGTATTGGCCAAAGCATCGCTCGGCGCATATGTCAGTGATTTGAAGTCGAACACCGATTGTAAGGCACTTTTGGGTCAAAAAGCGGACGAACGGGTTAAAAATCCCGATTTGGTAGGCATAATTGAACTGTTGTTTTCTTCAACCAAATGATTTATCTGGAATTTTCAGGCGAACCAAATCACCACATCGAATATGGACTACACAATGGCCACATCGATTTTTGATTTCACCATCAAAGATACATACGATATGGACGTTCCGTTGGCTGATTATTGCCGTAGATATGTGACGCTGATTGTAAATATCGCATCAAGCTGTGGATTAACGAAAGCAAACTATGCACAATTGACTGAATTGAACATGCAATTCAACGATAGTATGAAAAATCACTCTTAACATTTTTGAATGTTTTAATCAGTTGATTTTCTTGGATTAGAATTGCGTATCTTATTGTTTCCGAGCAATCAATTTAATGGACAAATGCCTGAGGGTGATGGCGATGAAATGCTCTGCCATTTGAAAATGAAAAATGCCGCACCGGGACGAATTTTTGCAAAAGTAAGCCAATGATAAAGTTCATACCACTTTTTTTTACTTTATGGTAAAATATTGGCATGAATCAAAAGAAGACATTAGTTTTGAAAAAAATTAGTAGTATTTTTGCCATTTCATTTTTAGGTCGATGTCAATGGCGACAAAGCCCACCCACTGTACAAGTACTTGAAAAATAAGCTGAAGGGCGAAAAAGGTGCCGACATCGAATGGAATTTTGTGAAATTTTTAATCGATAAAAATGGAATGCCAGTGAAACGCTATGATATGATGACCGAACCGATGACTCTTGTCGAAGATATAAAAATGCTTTTTTGAGGTTCATTCGGTGGACATAAAAAACGAAAATATTTTGAATTTTTGTTAAAGACAATTTTCGTGTACAAATTTATTATAAAAATAAAATGACATAGACAGAAGTGATCATAGGTCTTTTTTGTGTTTTGTACCGAATAATCTAAAATATCAGCTAAGACTGTTCAAACAAAAACTTTTGTATCTTTGCAGGCCACATGTGTATTACTGAATTATTCTAAGGGACCCAATGTATTGTATTTTTTGTCAGCAAATGTTCAAAATACTCATTTCACGTGCGCATATATCGACTTTAAATTACATGTCGCACATGCTAATGTTCACAGTGCACAATACCAATAGTACCTTATTATAATTTCTTCGAAAATTATATTAATTTTCAGCGATTACCTGAACAAGACGTTCGTTCGGAAACATTCATCATACAACTGTGCTTATTTCAATACAGAATAAACCTTTACATCTTTAAAGCTTGTCACCGGAACTATTTTGGGTACTAGTGAGTGTAATTTTTCAAACCTTAAAATCATCATTGTCCAGAATACAAGAGACAGCTGCACGCATAAGAAAAGTGTCTGCACCTCCGTGGTGCCAGTAACAGCTCCGCCCATTTCTACTTTAGATTTTGGAAAAATCTTCCAACAAACTCGCTTGGAATACCGGTTCAGTATTGAAATGACATTTTTTTCGATTTTTAGAACAAATTTTCTTGCACAAACTTCTCAATCACTATTAATTATGATGAGTCATCACATAAAACTCTAAAAAAAATCTTCAATAAAAATTGCTTTGAAATATTATAATGTGATTGAATAAACGATATTGCATGTATTTTGTGGCTATCATGTTAATAATATGAGTATTTACATGAAGTAGCTTCTGTAAAAAAGTGACTGTCACCGATTACTCAAACGGCTATGAAGGTTGCATAATTCAGATCCGAGCAAATGTTGTTTTCAATTTTACATTAAATTGTGATTCGTTAAAACATCCGTTTGACTATCGAAGTTAGTTCCATCCTCTTCTTTTGTGAATTCAGTGAAGTGTTCTCTCTGAACAATGCAGCTGTTGTCAATTCTCTGCATTTGTTTATTGCCAAAATTATTATTTTCTGCCTATGTCAGTGATTTGAATTCAAGCACAGATTGCAAGGTGCTTTTGGCCCAAAAAGATAAAGAAAGAGCAACAAATCCTGTCTTGGTAAAAAGTAGTATAATACAGCGTAATAAAAGCCACTTGATTTGAAGTTGAAATGAGATCTTGAGAAGTTGTTTCAATTCGAAATTATCAAGCACCAACTAATAAAACCTTTTATCATTCCAGGCCAATGAAATCACCACCACAAATGAGACGGACTACAAAAAAGCAACATCAATTTTCGATTTCACCGTGAAAGATACGTTCAATGTCGATATTCCATTGGGTGAATACTGTCGTGGGTATGTGACACTCATTTTGAACGTTGCCTCGAGATGCTTTTTGACGGACACAAACTATGCTCAGTCGACACAATTGAATAAGAAATATAATGAGAGTATGGACATCAATGACTTTTAATTATTATTTATGATTGAATTTGGACATTTTCGTTACAGAATTGCGAATTTTGGTATTTCCATGCAATCGATTTGGCGGCCAAATGCCGGAAACCGATGGCGAAGAAATGCTTTGTCATTTCAAAAGATGGAACGCTGCACCTGGCCAAATTTTAGCCAAAGTATAGCCATTTCAATAGCAAGCTTGTGTGTTTTTCTTACATTTTTTATCATAATTAGGTAAATGTAAACGGAAATTCAGCGATTCCATTGTATAAATATTTGAAAAAAGAATTAAAAGGCAGCATTGGCCCTGATATTGAGTGGAATTTCGTTAAATTTTTAATCGATAAAAATGGAAAGCCAGTTAAACGCTATATTGAAATCGTTGCACCGATGGATATCGTTAATGACATCGAAGCGCTTTTTTGAGGGCATGGCATCAAATGCAACGAACTACAGGTTGATTTTTAATCATAATATTTCTTTTGGACCGTTTAAATAAAGAGGTGATATAAACATGTTTTGTTTGAATGTGGGTTCATTTGAGATTAGATTTTGCAATGAATGAGTATTGAGTATGGTCATTCAAAAGCTTGCGAGACACTCATATTCTTAATCAAAATAGTAAAATTTTCTATATTTGGAATTAAATATTATTTATATATGAATGTCCGAGAATGAATGTGAATCTTCTCGTGAGAGTTCTCGGACAATCATATGTGTTATCAGTCACGTTAAAACTGATTGAAAATTGTAAAAAACCAACTCAATATTAAATATGATCAATAATCGAATCAATCTAGAGGTGCGCTGACTTCAATATTGCATAGGGAGTAAATGTTATGTTGACGAGCAAGTCGAAAGATTTAAAAATTTCAAAGGGAGTAAAAACTATTTTTTCAAAATTTGAAGGCCGGAAGAAATCCTAGACATATGTGCGACAGAGGGAGGCAAGACACAGAAACCTTCCCTCTCTCCATGCCTCTGAAACTAAGCAATTTGGAATTTTTTTAAATTTAAATTCGGCCATAGTAATATTGAATTTGTTATCTATATTTAACTATTATCAATTGAGCTCTTAACTGAGGCGTCACTACACAGAGTTTGTTTCAGTTGTGCACAAACCAAAGTACGTATACATATTCATAACATTTAAACACACAAACACGTCTATTTGAGTCGCTCCGTGTGAATGCGTGTGGTTATCATATATTTTCGCGTGTGGATGATAATATAATTTTCGGTTACACGCGATTTAGTTGATATTGGGTTGAATAATACGTCTTTGATACCCTTGTGCAAAAAAGTGACTGATTGTTTTGGTACAAATAGTCGGACTGTAAAAATATACAACTTTCGTTTGATTTTCTTAACCGTCTGTTTAATTTGGTTTAATTAGTTAAAGTAAACTATGGTTAACTGTACAACCTAACTTTCACAATAAGAAGTATAATCGTCCGATGGTCAAAATGCACTTCAAAATTAATGAATTTAGCCAACTGTAGTCACTTACGGCCAATAGTGACTTTTTTCCACTCGGGTAATCACTATGCTAAATAAAATACTACGGTTGTTATTATTTCATTCTTACTTTGCCCCTTTCGTACACACTATTCATTATCGTTATCTTTATTCATGATAACCCATTTGCCTCGCGCTCTGACACATACACATATTTTTATTGTAATCGTTGATTATACAATCACATATCTGAGCCGGCAACTTACATTCGTGAGACTACCTTTTCCGTAATATTTTCAATTTCGAAGTTTTACAGTAGTGAGACAAGGTGACAAGTTTATAATGTCGTACCTCGATCTACGATTTAAAGCCGGGTTTCAATAAAACTGAGAATCCAAGTAAAAAAAAGTCAATAAATCTAATAAGAATGGTCGATAATTTTTTAAAAGAAATTATTCATTCTGATTGCAATACTTTGACACACCATTGTTCAAGTGAAAAACTATACAATTGCAAATAGAAGTAAAATATAATCAAAAGTCACACGGCGAGAAAAAATGTCGTGTAAATCAGATTCAACTAAATAAGTCTATTCTTTTAACTTTGAAGTTTTCTTGTCAATCAATCAATTCACTTGTTTTTATAATTTTTTTAAATTAATAAATTAGACACGAAGAGTAATCTTGGAAAAAATAATAAAGTTTAATAAAAAGTTTTAAGTAAACAAACGGCAAAAAGAGTCAATTGAGCGAGTGTAATAAAACCGATCGAAGAAATTTTTTGAGATTTTGATTGCGAAGCAAATTTGTGTTGTACTTATTTTCAAAACATCCAATGATTCAGACCATTGACAATCTCAATGCTCTGCGTAAAACGATCACGCGCTGGAAGCATGAGGGTCTCCGCGTTGCGCTGGTTCCAACTATGGGCAATCTTCATAGTGGCCACTATTCACTGGTGACATTGGCACGACAATATGCTGACAAAGTCGTCGCAAGTATCTTTGTGAATCCCACCCAATTCGGTCCCAATGAAGATTTCAATCGCTATCCACGCACCCCACAGAATGATATTAATGGACTTGAAACAGTGGGCTGTGACGCAGTCTGGCTACCAAGCGTAAAGACGATGTATCCGCTGGGTTTGCAGAAAACTACAAAAATCCGTGTGCCAGATGTGAGCGAAACATTAGAAGGTAAACATCGTCCAATCCATTTTGATGGTGTATGCACGGTAGTTGCTCGACTTTTCTTGCAAGTACAACCAGATGTGGCTATGTTCGGTAAAAAAGACTACCAACAATTGGCGGTAATCAGGCAGATGGTAACCGAATTATCTTTCCCGATCCAAATCATTGGCGTAGAAACCGATCGCGATGAAGATGGTCTGGCCAAAAGCTCACGCAACCAGTATCTTAGCACAGAACAGAGGCTCGTGTCAAGCACAATCTATCGCACTCTAGTTGGTATGCGTGAAGGTTATGCGGCTCATCAGACTCGAGAACGTATCGAAGCCGATGCAAAGGCCAAATTGCAAGCAGCTGGCTTCCATGTCGAATACGCTGTTTTACGTACTCCAGATTTAGTTGAACCAAGCACCAACAGCGGTGATCGAGTGGCATTGATTGCAGCAGTTTTGGGCAAGACACGATTAATCGATAATCTGGAATTCTCATTATGAAAGAACCCACAGATTCTTTTTACTACCAACTATGCAAAATGTATGATACTTTAATTAAATAAAACTGTAGTTTCGATTTAAAAAAATTTAACAAAAATTTGCTGTGTTTTTCATGTTTGAATCTAGAAAAGTAATAAAGACTACCAGTTTTTGGCGGTGTATTATATTGTTATAATTGAATTTGATTTGGAACGGCATGACATCAAATGCAACGAACTATAGGTTGATTTTTAATCATAATATTTCATATAAATCGTTTGAATAAAGAGGTGATATAAACATTGGGGTGGTTCGATTTTTGTGAAAATTCAGAAGGGATACTGGCTATAGTTATAAGTTATGGAAAAATATGTAAGATTTACGAATACGACGTTTTTTTGACATAATTGATGTCACAGACCTAGCGCCTCCAGGGGTCCATTTTTTGAAATTTGACCAAAAATTTCAATTTTTCAAAAATTTTCAACACATTTTAAAAACATTTTTTCTGGTTCGTAACGCTGCTAATTAAGTTAAATAGACCGCCAAAGGCCATTAAAGAGCTCCCGGACTTAGCTCTACCTGAAAATAGGGTCCGAACATGACTGAACATTTTTAAAAAAATTGACCCAACAAAACAAAATTTTAACTCATTATTGAGGTGGTCTGATTTTACTGAAATTGTCCGACTCACTCTGTAACCTTTTGAGAATGTCGAATAGAGATTATCTGTGTGTTATGTTTGATAAATACTTTCGATTCTACATGCCCGCCCTACTCAAGACTTTTACAACAAATGTCGAAAATAACCAATTTTTTGAAATTTGCATGTGCACCAAAAAGTAATTTTGTCTACAATATTCCATGTTTTCGTGCTGTAATATTCTGATTAGGACATGACAGATGTATTCTAGAAGGAAAAGACGATGTACACTCAAAGAAAAGTTTCTATATCTTGGAAAACAATCTGTTGAAAAAAGCTGAAAAATGCAGTTTTTCAAATGGTTCAATATGAACAAAATTCTTCAAGTATTTATCAAACATAACACACAGATAATCTCTATTCGACATTCTCAAAAGATTACAGAGTGAGTCGGACAATTTCAGTAAAATCAGACCACCTCAATAATGAGTTAAAATTTTGTTTTGTTGGGTCAATTTTTTTAAAAATGTTCAGTCATGTTCGGACCCTATTTTCAGGTAGAGCTAAGTCCGGCCCAATGGGCAACCCGAAGCATTATAAAGACCACCCGAGATTCACACGAAAAATATAGAGATTTTAAATCCAATTCGTGCCAAATGTCATTTTGTACAAATTTTATAAAAAATAACATATAAAATCGTGCCATCTAGCACTTAAATTTTTTTGCATGCTTTTTATAAAAAGATAGTGATAATAAAAGGCAAAAAATTTCACCTGCTCCACAGATAAATATTTATGCCTGATTTTGATATTCAAATATGGTCGACATCGTGCTATATGTTTTTTCGAATTCGTACTGAAAATTCAATGCCCGATTTCGGTTATATTTAAGTATCAAAATCAGGTATTAGCGTTGAGATTTTCTGTTATCTTTTTTTTTAAAGAAAATTTACCATTCCCCTTCAGGACAACATATAAAGATTCTCAAAAGTAACTTCAAAAAATGTGAACGCCTGATTTCTACTTTAAAATATAACCGAAATCAGGTATATATCTTTGGTCGATTCGAGTATTTATTATTTATATTCAAATTAACCAAACATATAAGCCTGATTTAGATTATACTTTATAGTAGAAATCGGGCATATATATTTCCACGAAATAGATATATATTTTTGCACAATTTTTATAAATTTATAAGCATTAAATGGGCCAAAATGTGGCTTCATGGGAAGCTCGATTCGAGCCAAAAAACGGCTTCACAATGCCCATTGGGAGCTCTTTAATGGCCTTTGGCGGTCTATTTAACTTAATTAGCAGCGTTACGAACCAGAAAAAATGTTTTTAAAATGTGTTGATCAAATTTTCAAAAAATGGACCCCTGGAGGCACTAGGTCTGTGACATCAATTATGTCAAAAAAACGTCGTATTCGTAAATCTTACATATTTTTCCATAACTTATAACTATAGCCAGTATCCCTTCTGAATTTTCACAAAAATCGAACTACCCTAATAAACATATTCAAACGCAATGTAAAACACTTTTTACTGTCCAATCAGTAACGCGGTATAGTTTTCTTATTTGTGATTAATATTGATAATAAAAATGCTCAGACCGGCGGTTTATGATTAATCTCACCTAATAGCTTTAAGTTTACCTTCTTTATTTTCATCTTCATTTTATTGGCTTTTCATTTGCTTTTTTTATTCTTTGCATTGTGTAAAGTAGAGTCTAAAATTGATACAAAAGTAAGAGCCGCTTGAATGACATCGCATTATTGTACACAACCGAAAAGATCGTCTTCACAAATCTCATTCAACCGATTGCATTGCCAACGCAAGACGCAATAAATTGTGTTGATTTCATTTTTCGTTTGCAGCAATAAAATTTTTACTTTTTTTCAATTTGATAAAATTCCAGACAGACATTTTGAAATTCCTCGAAAAGTCAACGCTTAGCTACGAAGATTGTGTGGAACAGTTTAAAGACCACGAATTGAAAAATAAGATTCGCGAGACAAACATTTGCACGCAAAATCCGGTCGAATTTGGCGTTTGTTACGGTGATCAAGGTATGCTTTATTCTCCAACTAGTTATTAACACTGGGTAAATGTTTGTTGTATGAATACACTTGAATAGGTGGCTCATGGGTTAATGCATCTAATCCAAATGAGCATAAGACATTGATCGGAATCATTTGTGGGAGGTGCCGGTAGATAAAGAGATTAATTTTTCATTGCAAAAGAAATATACACAGTTGAGTTATGGTTTATACTATTTTTTTAGTGGGGCAAGGATTTCCAGACGTCCATTCACGAGACTTTCCCTACGTTGATTGGATTTGAAGCGAAATGGCAAAATACGATCAATAAAATCCAGTATTCTTACCATAGACGGGCAGACTGGAAATGTCAGGGAATCCTCAAAAACTTCTAACGAAATTGAGACCAAAAACCCAAGCAAAATGAGAAAAATTCTATTCAAAATCTATAAAAAAATAAAATTAAACTCTTACTTTAATCTACTTGCAATTGTAAAATTAACGACTAAAGTAAATAAAAAGCTGATTTTTCGTTGATTTCTATGCATTTTTAATTTCTGATTTTCAAAAAATGCAAAAAATAGTGGCGCCTATTCATAATTCCGCAGGAAATATTTTCGCTAAAATAGTTGGATCCATACATGAGCATAGAGGATGTGAGCTACTCTCACTTACAGTCGGCTTTCAACGCGACTCGATTTAAGAAGCGCCATCTCTTTCACGCCAGTTTCTCATATATTTTTTTTCTTGCAAATAAAATTGCAAAATTGTATAAATTGAATAAGTTTTGCAATAATAATAGCGAAAATAATTAATATAATTTATAATAAATAAAAAAATTGAAAGAACACACAAATATTTTATATTATATGATACACCCAAATAGCTTCACTTCGTGTTGTTTACGTTGTTTCTTTTTACAGGTATGAATGTTTGACAAATACATATTTTCTCCACGTAACCATCTCTACATGGTCAATAAGGCAAAGTCTAAAAGGCAAAGCTACATATAATATAAAATATTTGTGTGTTTTTTTTTCATTTTTTTTATTTATTATAAATTCTATTAATTATTTTCGTTATTATTATTGCAAAACTTATTCAATTTATACAATTTTGCAATTTTATTTGCAAGAAAAAATTATATGAGAACCTGGCGTGACAGAGATGGCGCTTCTTAAATCGAGTCGCGTTCAAATACATTGTCAACATACAACGCAAGTGATATTCGGATGTGAGAGAAGCTCTCCCCGGTATTAAGTTCCATCCAAGTCGAATGAAAAGCTCTCTTTTAACTTTTCGATCGTACCCATGTATGGTTCCACCATTATTCGCCTAATGTAAATTATTTCTCTTAAATGTGCTAAATTGTCGATTATCATGGTCATTTTGATATTTATTGGTCGACTTCGATGTATTGGCTGCCACATAAAGATTGTTTGTTGCTGTTGGGGTGCCATCCAGAAGATCCGTCAAAAACGGAAAGTATTTTTCATGCAAAACGCGAATTGGAACACATGGTGCTTCACAATCCGGTGTGCCGAGCAATGCAAAATAATCGGTTTTGCCCGAATTAAATCGGCTGGCATTTGCTTGAACATATGGATCATTCAAGTCGACATAATGTTCCGACACTGTTTCTCCCAATAGCTTCGAAATATTGCTCTCTAATTTGTTAAAAAGCGGACGTTTCTCTGGTTGAACGCACCAACAGGATAGCATTATATCATAACTGGCAAAGAAAAAAGGTTGTTAAAGGGATTCGTTTACTAATAAGTGCGAAACATACATAGCTTGTGTAGCAAATTCCGGTTTTTCCATTCGATAACCATCGTTCAATAGTTTCTTCAGTCCAATTTTTGGATTGATGTCCGGATAGGGTGTGGCGCCCAATGAAAATAACTCCCATAGAACCACGCCAAATGACCAAACATCGGAGTATGAACTGAATACAAAATCATTGATTGACTCCAGTGCAAGCCATTTCAAGGGAAGAAGAGCCTGAAACCATTGAAAAAAATGATTTTTATGTATATAGATTCATTGATTAACATTTATCTTTTTTCTTGACCTCTTTGTCTCGATTTTTGCGATAGCAATCTTTGTTGTACATCGATCGTGCCAAACCGAAATCGCAAATTTTCACCACATTTCCTTCGCAAAGTAGAATATTGCGTGCCGCCAAATCTCCATGCAACACCTTTCGAGACGCTAAATATTGCATTCCGCGCGCAATTTGGAACGACCAAATTAGCAAATCGGTCGTTGTCACGGAACGTAGTGGTGCTTGTACTGAGTCCTCCTTTTGTGTCGGGCCGCTGTTGGAGGTTTTATTTGGCGTAACTAGAGGTGAAGCTGAATTTAATGCTTTCTCCAAACTGTCCAAGAAGGAACTGCCATCCAGATTATTTCTGTTTTAAGAAAGAAATGTAAATAAAAGGGCAACTTTGACAGAATTGAATCATTTCCCACCTTTTCAGTGAGTTAAATGTCAAGTTATTGGAAGAGCCAGTATTTGATGTTATTTTTGGATCAATTTCATCAGTTTGATGTACGATTTGATTCACAAAATATCGTCGATGTTTCGTTAGAAAGCTTTGAACGTTTCCAAATGGACAAAACTCGACGATGATCAAGAGTTCACCTATTTGAAATATGAAAAATTTACAAAAATTGAACGAAAAGGTTAACGGAACCTATCCTCTTACGTTTCGAAATGTTTTTGGTCACCGCTCCAAGCAAATTTAGCACATTCAAATGCTTTCCTAAATATATCATTATTTTGAGTTCCGAGATTAAAGCCTTCATCATCTTCATTCCGAACACATGAAAGAATCCATTTTTTGAGAATGTATTTTGATTATTTTTACTTTGATTGTGCATCCAAACCTCATTATCAGCAATATTTTCGGCCATTTTAATAGCGACGTCCGTCTTTTCGCCTTGTGAAAGAATACCTTCAGCCGATGAAAGATACACCTTACCAAAGGCTCCACTGCCAATTACCCTACCAAGTTCTATCTTATCGCGTGGAAATTCATAAGTCTTATCATATGGTAAAAGATCGGCTTGTGCATCCAACGTTAACTCTGATTGAAGACAGTTTACATTTCCTTCCATGAATTTGGATAGGCCGGCTTTTTTCATCTCATTATATAACAGTTGTTGTCGTCGTCTTTGAATACAGCAATAAATCAAGCTCAGTATCAACACAACGATCATTGCAATCAAAGCGATGATAACAGGTACATTATCATAGATTCGCTTGTATATTGGTGCATCTGTCATACAAAGTGCCAAATTTGAAAATGTTAAATTATTTTTATCAAAAACTTAATTACTCACTTGCGATTTTAATCCGTACACTTCTCCAGTCAGAACCTTCTTTGTTTACAGCAGAACACTTGTATAGACCTTTATCTCTCTCTTTGGCAAATTTAAATTGTAGCTCCATTTTATGGTTACTGATATTGCTTGAAATATGTTCGTCGAGTAAAAATAGTTCGTTGTCCTTGTACCAGGTCACATTCGGCTTTGGTATGCCCGAAAAATTACAATATAATTTGAAAGATTGCTCAAATTCAACCTTCGTTTCCGTTGCATCTTCAAAATTTGAGCTTACTATCGGCTTTTCTGCGGTAGTGGTGCTTAAAAACCAAACTTTTTCTTCGGTAACGGAGGTCTCTTTAAGTGTTACTTTACACACATATTCACCGTAGCTTGCATTCGATATTTCATTTGAATACAATATTTTTTGAATTGAAAATTTGGTATCGTTTGATTTTAATTGGAAATCTGAAAGACAACATTCAAAATATAAGCGGGTTTTGGGGGAATCTTGATCTCGATCACAATCGACATTTCTCAACTTAAATTACACGAAGACGCATATAGTCACTTATAGTTAACTTTAGCTGGCTGAAATATCAGCCATTTTTGTCCCGAATTGGTCAATTTTTAGTCGACTATGAAGTCGAAATATTTCCACAAGGGATATAGTCGGGAAAGAGGCTTTGGAAGTAGGGCGGATGGAATGCATAACATCTGAACAGGGGTACAAGGAGTATCCCCGCCTCGGAGAATAGATTTGAATTTATTAATCCGAAATTGAGTTTTTTGGAATGAAATGCACCATTCACTTTTCTTTCAGACATAGTCCCTCTGATTTATTTCAACAATTTCGACGAGGCTTGAATGGCTAACTCCAGAATTAAGATGGCAAAAATAGTATGTGTCCGAAGAAAGTAGAAACTTCGTACATCCGTCCCTTCAAAAGACACACTTGTTAAATTTTCCATCAAAAATTAGTGCGTCCCTCCGCTTAAGACGTCCTAGGGCATTTTTAAGCTTGTCTTATGAATAGCCGACTTCCGATTTTACTTACCTTTGTTTTTGATCAGCAAATCGCCATTTCTGTACCAATTCAAATCGGAATATTTATATTTTGCGGCACCACATACAACTGATATGCCATAATCGATCACAATCGGCATAACATTGTCGGTCCAAATGCCAAATTCTTCATTTAAATCATGAACATTTATGTTGACTGATTTTTGACTGCTACCAAATTTGTTGTATGATCGACACGTTAATATTCCCAAATCGTCCGGAATAAAGTTAACAATTGAGGTTTGATTAAACTCAGTTTCGGTGGTGCTGAAATTCAAACTCTGGAATATCGAAATTTAGTCAAAAAAAGGTGAAAAAAGCCGAAAAAGTAGTAAATCACCCACATTGATATCACTGCAAAAATCCCCCGAAGAGCAGTCAAATGTCCAGTCAATTGTTGCTTTTGGATATGCAAAAATGTTGCACATTACACTTGCTTGTTCGCCTTGTTTCACCGTAACCATGTCCGGAAGATCGACTTCCGGTTTACCTATGAAAATTATTCATTTTAATTTAAATTTTTAATGAATCAAAAACCGTTCCTTACCTTGAATTTGTAAGCTAAATTTCTCGATTTTTTTATTTTTCTCCTCGACATGCCCATTTTCTGCAATCAAAGGGTATATGCCGGACTGTCTCACTGTCAAATTGCTCTTCGTCAACGTTATTATTTTGCAGTGTTCGGTGCTCGTGAATGAAAGATTTGTATTATTTTTCGATTCCCATGGAATCTCATCACCATTGTTCGAATACCAACTGAATGATGGATTGGGATAACCAAATATTTCCGCAATCCATGTCACAGACGACTCATTCGAACTGAGTGTCGAATTTGCACCCGATCGTAATGTTATGTTCACGAATGTATCACAAATTGCTAAAAAAATAACTGCATTAGGTGATTCTGTAAAAAGAGAATTTACCATTGAATAATTTACCCAATATATTGGTGACATTTAGTGTCGCCGAATCGATGATAAATTCATCATCTTTGAGGGTGCATCGATAAAGTCCTTGGTCTTTGTTTTTATTCACATTTTTCACTATTAAACGATAAATTAAATCGCATTTCTCTCGTCCATTCTCATTCGATGCACAATTCTCCTTTAACGGATCCAAAACTTTTACACGACTTTCCTAAAATGGAAAAACACCCGGAATCAAAAATTTAATTCGTTTTTTGATGAACTCAAAGTAATACTCTTTTTATAGCAGTTTTATTTGGCCAATTCCACTCCATGGTCAAATCTTTTTTCATTGGCAATAGGTAAGTGTTTCGCACTGAACAATTGAACTCCATTTCACTCCCTTCAAGTTCATAAAGGTTCTTTTTCTTCGCCATTTCTACATTGATCATTTTCAAATGAAACACGAAAATTGTTAACATTTTCATTAATTGAAATTTCAAAAAAAAAAGGATTTTTGAAAGAGAGAAAGTTTACATTTTTTGTATCAAATCTTATAAAAATAAAATTATCAACACACCAATTTTGACGATTTCAACATTCTGAACATCACTTGATGTGGCTTTAAAATCCTCATTCAGTGAAACAACAGCAAATTCATAGATTCCGGTTGAAAGTCCATGAATTATCTTAAAATCGTCATCGGTAATGACGTCAGTTGATGTCCAATTTTGTCCATTTTCTCGAAATTTGACGTAGAAATTCGCACCAGGATTACCGTAAACATTTGGCATCCATGTCACTTTTATTGCTCTCTGCCATTGTCTCCATGTAAACGATGGCTTATCTGGTCGAACTGATGGTGATCTCGTGTTCGACTTTCGTGTTCGACTTTCAATAATGCAACTGACGAGAGGAAAGGAAATGAAACGTTTTTGCAGAAAGAAAAGGAATTTAAAAGAATATTAGCACCAGTATAAATACTCTGATCCAGGGCTGTAATTTTCACTCTGTCAGTCACACAGTAGTGTGCACACTCACATTGCTTGTATTTTACCTCCAAAAATGTCAAACTTGTGACTAAGTGTGCGTGCACATTCAAAATACAGGCATTGTGTGCGATGCACATAGAATGTGAGTGTGCACACTACTGTGTGCGTGCACTGAAAGAGTGAAAATTACAGTCCTGCTCTGATCAAAGGTACTTACTCTTTTTGTTGCATCGATGCATTGTCATATCTGAGACTCAATCGATAAATCCCGTTTGAGTGCAACCCTGTCACTTTGGTTTGATTTATGGAATTAACATGAATTGTTTTCATCCCAACTGAAATTGTGTAGCTCAAATTGTGCCCTGTCGATTTCTGCCATTGTACTAACAATGCCCTTGATCCCAAGGGAAATGCTTGAAAATTGCAATCCGATTGAATAACATGTTCCTGGTGCTCTGCACTCGATTCACCATTTGCATTGGCACAGATCACTTTGTAGCGATACGGTTTATTAAACACTTGATTTGGAACGATGACATAATTTTGATTCACATCTATAATGTCTATTACATTCCATGATTCACTTATGAAATCTGGTTTCCAATAGACACGATAAAAAAATTCAATTTTTTGTTGCACGGAAGTCCAGCTGATAATGAAACCGGATGGTTTTAGTTTTATTGCATGCACATCATCTGGATTTTGATAAGGAACAAATTGAATTATCTGTGAATTAGTAGCTACAGTTGATTTAGTTGTCATTGTAACATTAACACATAGCTTAATTTCATGATAAATGTAACCAATGTCATTTTTGGCCAAACATCCATAAATGCCCATGTTATGCACGCTCACTTTATCAATATTTAAAGAGTCATCGTCAATGTTCATGTTTGCCATGGCCATGTTGAGTGGTTCGCCATTGTAAAACCAGTATATGCTTGGTTTTGGTTTTCCTTTCACAATACAACGAAATTCGAACGTGTCACCTTCATTATTGGTCGTGTCACTGGATGTGTATTCAAAACGAGGAGCGGAATTTACCGTCAAGTCAATTTCATGATAAATTTTCGTGAAATTGTTCGACACTTCGCAGGTGTATGTGTCTTCGTCATCATATGTCACCGCGTTAAAAATCAACGACTTATTGTTTGCTCCCAATTGTATTCGGTCATTCAATATGTCCACTCCATTTCTCCGCCAAGTGGTGGTCAAAAGCACTGGTCCACCATAAATGCAAAATATCTCAAACGTTTCATTCACGACGGCGAACACATTCTTATCGACCCATTGTAATATTGGCGCGTTTTCAGTTGAAACCGTACTTTCAATTATATTTATATCAAACATGATTTGCGTTGAAAAGATTAACAACGAAACTGTACACGAGAATTCCATATCAGTGTGAATCATATTGGAAATGTATAAAGTTCCATTCGGTCCTTTGGTGATATGTACATTTTCGGTTGGATTATCCCAAGTCGGTATTGCCCAGTTGGTTTTTAGCTTTGGCCATGCATCCGGCACACACTGAAGCTTAAATGGTTTGCCTTTTTGAACCGATATTGACTTATTTTCCATTATATTTAGGGATGGCTTACGATAAAATATCGGATTCGACGATGCAGTGCCGAATTCATTCTCGGCAAAACATTGATATTCAACAATGTCATCTTGCTGACTTTTTATTATGATTATATTTCTCAAGTCATTTAATACGACCCGAGTTTCGTGAGGTGAGATATCTTTGCCATTTACTTTCCAACGATAACTAAATAAAGATTAAAAAGAAATGGAATTTTTGAATAGTAAATTAAAACATAGACACTTTCATATTTACCTAACATTATGCCCTGAAGCTTCACATTCAAGCACAATATGTGACCAAAGGGGATATACACCGTTTGGTAATTGTTTCGTAATTTTTGGAAAGGAAGCAATGGAGCATGATGGAGGATTTCCTTTGGTACTAGAACCATCCAAGCCGTGATGTTCACCAAACACTTTAATAAATTTCAATGAATTCAGTTAATTTACACAAAACCAGTTCCATTGCAATCTCATTTTTTTTTAAATTCATCTTACCTGAACACTTCAAATGAAACAAGAGAAGAACTAAAAGAAATTCAGTATAATTTTGAAGAGACATCATTAATAGTCTCATTTTTGCACTTATTTTTAAATTTGACTTTTTATTAGAGCACGAAACTTTATCAAAATAGTAAAAAATCAACATTAAACACTTCTACTGCCGCCTGATGCAAAAAAGATGAAAAAATTACCAATTTATTTTTGAACATTACATGACAGACATTGCAAACATGAATTGAACCTTAATAAGAAGACCTAAGTAAGAACTTTGCACTTACATTAATAACGATTCAACTTGGCTGTGCCAGTAGAAGTATTATTTAAAGTTTTCAAGTTGAAAAACAAAAACTTAAAGGGGTCATTGCTATAAGTAGTTGAAGAAATAAATACAAAATTCATATATCTGTGCAACTGAGAATTAAAATGACTTGAATCTCAGCTCTGGCTCTTGTCTCAGCTTCTGTTATCGCTTACCAAAATTCCCCAAAGCGAGAGCAGGATGCGATATTTCTTAACTCATTTCCATTCTCAGCCACTCTCGTTTTATCAAACTCATTATCAAATAAAAGGCAGTGATTTCATTTTTGAAATTATGTATTCATGAACGTTCTCACATGGGTATGCGTCATATGACAAATTATGCGTGTTTTAAACCAAATTAGGAAATCTGTACATTTTTTTTATTTTATCATTTTTAGATTATGATATAAAATGTTTAAATTTAATGAGTAAGGCAACAGATTAAAATGGGCAAATTTGGTGTCCACAGACGTGAGCGGTCATTCAAATTTAATAAAAAATCATATTTTGTGATTAACCATAGACCTGAGTGTGATGTGATAAACTAATTGATGTCTTTGGTTTTGGATCATTGAAAAATGTTCGCAGAATTATAACTTGTGATAGGCCGATGACTATTATGATAATTGTCTGCACTAATGACCACGTTAAAACTCGACCATTCAAATCTTCCGCAAAATGACGTCCTTTACTCTCAAGCTAAAATTTCAACAATAAATGTTTGTTATTATAGTAAGAATATTCAGTATGCATCACAGCACAAACAGATTTCGTGCACCAAAAAATCAACTTACACGACGATAATCGGTTTGAAGAATTGAAGCAACTTGTAAATGTATATGAATACTTTGTGCAGTTTCATTCATAAATGTCACCTCTTCGGTATCTTCTTCAACTGAGTGCAACAGGCGATTCAATCTTCCAGCTTCGAATGAAACGAATATTGATTTTTCGGTGAATGTCGAAAATTCGTTGTTGAAACAAATTCGATGCACACCACTTTCCTATTTGAACAGTTAGACAAGAAAAACAAATGAATAAAAAACGATAAAAAATGAGATAAATTGTGACGAAATTTATAAATTTAAATGCGTTGTTTATGAGTGAGACATATTCGTGCTTTTCAAAAGAATAAACATTGGCAGCTGTTTTGAAATATGAGTCAATATCGCCTGAGTAGCACATTCAGATAACATTCTTGAATTTTTCAAATGATTTTTTTTAAATTGCTTATGAAATGAATGTTAATTGAAAATTTCCATTTTCATGTCGAAATATTTTCAAGCGAAAAAAGAAAAAAAAGCTTTCATTGATTGTTCAAAAATATCATATGACTCACCGTTGTATTAAATTTAAATCGATCATGTTCCTTTCTTAACTCTTTGTAGATGAGTAGTTTGGAGGGGGCTTGAATAATCACATCAACATCAAGTGCACCACCTTTCAAAACCTTCGAACGAAAATTTGTTTTTCAAAATCTCTCGAAGCGGTGACTTCAAATTCTGGTGTACTTACTTGAAATTCTAATATACATGGTGTATTTTCATTGATTTCTTCGTAAAAACATTCAACGGCACTTTTTGCCAAATCAAATGCAAACTCGGTGCCCATAACGGCATGATATGCCATAAATAAACAAATTAGCTTAAGGTACATTACGCCTGAAAATCAAAGACGATTGCAGAAAAAATGTACGTGGTCACTTCAGAAAAATAACAGATATAATGTCACTTTGAAGTCAAATGGTTGCAATGTCGACGGTGCGAAGTGATGCAAATCAATTTAACGACTGTTTCTTTGGTATGCACAAGAAATAAGTAAAGACAGGCAGATCGCTCGATCATGATTGGTTATGGGTTTCGAAGTAATCAAATACTTTTTTTGCAATTTTCTTTAAATAATTTTATTGAATCAATTTAACGACTGTTTTCGTCACGTCAATCAATAAAAGCAGACATTTATACACACATTGATCGTGATCATTTGCAATGAACGCAGCGTAATAAAGCAAATAAAATTGCGATCGACACAAGTGTATCAGTGCAATAAAGAGTCTGGTTTGGAAAAAGGTGTATCAATTTCTTCTTCAAATATTTAAACTCTCTTTCTTACCTTTTTAAAACCACAATTTAATTTTATAATTCCCACTTTATTCGTAATTCTATCTATAGATACATCATATATTTGACAATGGTATGTACGCTCGATTATTTGCCTAAAATTCAAACATTTTCAATTCAAATAAATTGAAGGTTCTCTTTAAGACCTATTTTTACCATAACAAGTGAACACTGTGATTTCTTTCGAATTTACGAGAATTCTCGAGAGTATATACATGTGAACAGTATTTTATATTGTAGAGTACCTATTTATATTCCATCATTGTATTGAGATTATCACGAGTCTCTGCGTCTCTTCTGAAATGAATCTTATACACACATGACACTAAAGAGTCATTTCGGGCCGTCATTGCTTTGTGTAAATCTAGGTGTAAATATTGGAATTCACGGAATGTGATTGTGTTAAAGACGAACTTAGATTTTGTTCCTGCTTTTTTGGTACTGAAGGTGGTTGGACATCAGGGCAGCCCATCAATAATGTAACATAATCACTGTTACTGATTGTAAGCGATTTGCCATTAAATATGGTTCATTCAGTATAATATAATGTTCCGATACACTTCTGTCTAACATAATCTTAAACATTTCTTCCAATTTATCAAACAGCGGTCGTGATTGAGGTGCTTCTTGCCAACACGATAGCATAATGTCATATCTACAAAATAGAAATGTTCAATGCAGCAATATTCGGAACAAGTGTTTGAAATCTTACACATTTTGCGTTGCATATTGTGGTTTTTCCATTCTATATCCTCCCTTTAACTTCGTGTACAAAGGTGTACCAGCGTTCATTCCCGGATACGGTGTTGCGCCGAGTGAAAATAGCTCCCACAGAACAACACCGTACGACCAAACGTCGGAAAAAGAAGTAAACATTAAATCGCTAATCGACTCAAGTGATAGCCACTTGAACGGGAGTGCCCGCTATAGTGTGAAACAATTCTTTTACTAAATTCAATGTTAAATTAGATTAGATAAAGTATAATTACCTGCGTTTTGATTTGATAATTGCTCGTTTTGTACATTGATCGTGCCAAACCGAAATCGCAAATTTTCACCACATTATCATTGCAGAGTAATACATTTCGTGCCGCCAAATCGCCGTGTAATACTTTTCGAGAGGCCAAATAATGCATTCCACGCGCAATTTGAAATGACCAAATTAATAAGTCGGTTGTTGTCATCATTGAAGGCATTTCGTTGCTTGGCGTTATTGTGGAGTCGACACAATCTTCTTCATGGTTTATTTGATCACAAAAATGTGCACGGTTTCGAATTAAATATGATTGCAGGTTGCCATGCGCACAATATTCAACGATTAACATTAATTCACCTGAATGAGTTCGAAGAGATCGAATTAGTTTGAAGAGAAATGAAAAGAGGGAGAAAAACGATACAAACGTTTGGAAATGTCCTTGGTAACGGCACCGAGCAAATTCACGACGTTCAAATGTCGACCCAAATGGACTAGGATTTTTAACTCCAAAGCTAAAGCTCGTAATATCTGCAAAAATTGTCGAAAAAATAATACGATTTTTAAAACTGGTTTTTTACGATGACCTCGGCTCGACTAGCTCACGGTGTCAAACGTATACGAAACGGTCACTTTCAAGTTTTTTTATGTCCGTCCGCCTCTTTTGCGATTTGGGATATTTTAGAAAACGGACAGTTTTACACCTTTAACGTGTCCAGTTATCTCCGGCTAGAATCTGTTTGCATTTTTCCTCAAATCTCAAGAACTAACCTCATATCCGGCCAAACTTTTGACCATTTTAACGGCAACGGTTGTTTCGTCCTCATAAGGTACAATACCATGTGCAACACCTTTGACAACAACTCCAAAAGCGCCAGCTCCTAATTGTATGCCGAGTATGAGTTTTTCCCTTGGAAATTCATACTTTCGATCATATGGCAACAAATCGGCTTGTTCGTCCAACATAAGCTCTGGATTTAAACAATCAATATTTCCCTCTTCAAATTTATACAGATAATAAATCGAATTGTTTCTTTGTTCACCATTAGAGTAAACATTCCTATTTTGATTCTAATATTTGAAATAAAACATGAATTTATAAAAAAATACATCTGTGATGGTTTTTAAATGACCGACCTGATACTTATTCGAAACTTTGTGTGAATTTTGATCGTTCAAACTTTCGAATGAGTTCCTCTTCTTCGATTTGCGTCGATAAAATTTAAATGCAACAAACGATACCAGTATAAAACACAAGACCACTATCGTTAAGCCAATTATAACGTTTCTGACGAAGTGTGACGTTGTTGGTCTTACTAAGCCTAAAAAGCCAACGATAAGATTACAATGATAATGACATTTTGTTTATTGAATATACCACGTGTAATCTCTTGTATATCGCTGCGTGCTGTGCAAGTGCCTTCGATCGATACAACAACAACCTCATATATTTCATATGGTGACAGTTGATCGATGATAACAAAGTCGTCGCTTTTGATTTTCTCAGTATATGTCCATTGATGGTCACCTGTGATACGGTATTCGGCACGAAAATCTACACCAGGTTCTCCCATTACGTTTGGCATCCATATTACTTTGATACTGAACCAATCATTTTGAATTGGTAATGGATCGTATTTGAAAGATGGTTTATCGAGTTTCGCAATGGGACCTTTTGCTTTTGTTTTAGCACTAATCGTGGCTCTGTAAATAGAGTGGAGTAAAATATGAAATTACGCATGAAAGGCCGAGCTTAATTCAGTGCTTTTTTTTTGGTGAAAAACGAAGAAAATGGTTTTTTCTTACCTTTTTCCTTCTCTACCATCTCCAAATGATGCAGCAACGGACAACTCATAAGTTTTGCTTCCTACTTCAAATACATTCAATTTGGCTTGATCTACATATGGATCTTTGATTTGGGGACTCCGTGCCATTTCCTTTCCTAATTCGTCTTTGTAATAAATATTGTATCCCATGACTGAGTCAATCATTGGTTTCCATCTCAGTAAAAATGCAGACGATCCTAATGGAAATGCCTCCAAATTTTCAATTCTACCGGGCACGTCGGGGAGCATGAAAATCTCAATCAAATGACTTTGTGGTCCACAAGCTATATTATTGCATGCCATTATCTTGGCATAATTATATACACCGACTGTTAAATTTTGAATTTTTATTTCGGTCGAGTTTACGAAAAATGTACGAAGAACATTGTTTTCTGTATCTGGCGTTACCATTTCAACATAATAGAATGTAAAATGGCCATTCCAAGTGGCTGGTGAGACTGGTGACCATCGCAAAATTGCCGATTTTTCCTTCAATAAATAAGTCACAATAACATTTTTCGGCGCTTCCGATCCAATTATTTCGGCGGATTCTACCTTCGATTTTCCGAGCTTATTGTTAGCTTCAACTTTAATGCGATATGAAACACATGTTGGCTGATGTGGTAGCTTAATTCTGCTTTGAGACTCATCGGTAATATTCATGACATTCCATTCTGCGTCGGGAATGTTTCTTTTCCAATAGATACGATAATCGAATTCTGGTCCAAAATGATCGATACTTTCGATTGGATCCCATGAAATTTCTAAATTTGTCGGTGTTGTACCTTCATCTTTAACGTTATTTGGATTTCTGAACGGCCTCGTTGCATTAGTACTACAATTATGCCTGGTTTTTAACGGATCAATTTCATTATGAGGGATAATCCGAAACGAATAATTCTTCCATGGTGTCAGAGGTGTATTGAACGAACATTGATCGCTTGAAGTATTTAACGATTCCCATGAATTTGGAGAAAATGACGTATTATATTCAACAATGTAATATCTAATCGGTGGAGCATTATATTGTTTCTTCCATGAAATATGCACATGACTCTCGAAGCATTTCAAATGGGTTATATATGGTTGAAATGTAACATCTTGCGCGGACAATGTTTCTGCAAAAATTTAAAAAACAAGACATTTTTCAGATTTTTTAACTAAAAAGTTAGCCGGTTATTTTGAAGACTATTTCGTACAAAACAAGACGACTTAATACTAAAATTCATATTTGAATGGCGCCTTTCCATCAATTTTAATCGACTTGATTACCATAGTCGAAAAAAATCATTTGACTAACTGTTAGTCACTTTTTGACACACGGATTAATAGCTTTACAAAAAAGTTTGTGTTTTGATGTTTACACACTAAACAGAATCGGAATACAGGGCTGTCTATTTTTGGATAGATATGACAAAATCGCGTCACACCTAGTTCCACATACACGTAAGTTATACACACATCTTATAATGAAATTTTTATTAAAACCCAAAATTCCCCTTCGATTTGACACAAAACCATCAAAATATATCAAAGCACGAGATCTTCACTCACGAAGAGTCATGGATGTGTTAATGTCATTTGTATTAGTGTGCGCTGTGTACAAAAACGTCAATTTACAAATTCTCCTTCCGCAGCAGCAGCTTCTGAAATGATAATGCGCTTCTACGGTAATGATCTTGCAGTGCAATTTCATGCTATGAAATATACAGGGTGTATCTTAGGGGTAGGAATTTTGAAAAACCCTTTGGAGGGTATGTTGGGGGTAAAAAATAATTAATTTCTATCGGAGCAGAATTTTGAATTTTTCCCCACGGGGGTGGGGGTGCCCCAAATTTTTCAAAAGTTCATCGGATCAAAAAATAATGTACTACAACGCCATTTTCTATGTATGCCAATTTTCTATGAATTTTGTATAAAATCCAGGCTGCCGATGAGATTGTCTATTTTCAAAAAAATGTGCACATTTGAAGAAAAGACGCGTTTTCACTACTTTTCAATCCACTTCATTCACAAAATTTTAAATACTAATCTTCTTTTACTATAAAACACTTACCAAATGTGTGTATAAGACATGTACCAATCGCGATCAAAAGGAACGAAAATGTCGATTTTCGCCTCATAGTAAATTTGACAGATAGGTGCGTATCACGGCACTTCTTTCTCAATAACTGACTTTTTTCCGACGTCGCAATAAAAAGTAAGGCGAAGCTGATAAAAACTGAGTAATTTTTTTCATTGGAAGAGATAAACTTTTCTGGAATTGTGATAAGAAGCAAGCGTTCAGAATCGCATACATTTATGCGATACATTGAATGCGCATGCATCATTTCATGCGCATCAAATAACGCTAACGCTGTCGTTGTACGTGCGGATCTAGTAGCACACGACGGTCTTGCTTTATTGAACATTAACATCATTACGTGTATCATATAAGCACGTCGTGCGCTGTCAGGTCCGTACTCACAGCGACATCGTTAGCGTTGTGTTTGCGTTATTTGATTCGCATCAAACGACGCATGCATCATTCAATGTATCGCATAAATGTATGCGATTCTGAACGCTTGATAAGAAGTATTTATGTAAGTTCGAAGAGCTTCGAAGTTTTGCGATTCCTATCGACTGCAGAATTCAATAAAAAAGCTTTCAATTGTCTCATCAATATGAATACACAATCGATTCGTAATCTTATCATATATTTTTCTGTTTCTGTGCGGAATAGCAAAATAATTAAACGACTGGCTTAATCATTTATTACCGAATCAATTAATAACAGATAACATGATTCTACCGAATCAATATTTTTGTTCCAATTACTTCTTCAAGTTCAAGCTATGAAATTCGAAATATTTATAGGTTTAACTCGGTAATTAGATCATCAATTGAGATCTATCGTTCAAAATGAATGGTATTTGACTTTGATCTCATTTGCGATTTGAATTTCGCAACAACATGTTGCCCATCAATCATGCACACGAACAAATAAAAGGATTGGCCAATTTTTCATCAAGTCGCATATCTTTGATTTCTTATTTTTTTTTTGAGTACAAATCGATTTCAGGTGATGAAAAAAATCCAAAAATTAAACCGAATGCATTTAATTCAAATATAAAGAAATAAGTCAGTCTCATTTTGTGCAAATAAAAATGATTATTTTTTAAACATTCGCTTGTTTTGGAAATATTCTTTGCCCATTATTTATTACGAATCAAAATTAATATAAAAGTTATGAAGCTGATAAAAAAACGTCATATCAATGAACAAATAAACAATGAATATTGATTAAACTACTTCTTCGGGACAGCAATTATGACGAGCACCACCACATCGCAACTAAGTATAAGGTAACTATGTATAATGGACTATTAGGTTTTGGTGGATCAACTACTGATCCAGTTGCCGCATCTAAAGAACGAAAAAAAATGAAAGCTCATTAAAATTGTCATTATATTTTGGTAAATCGTAAAATGTGGAAGAAAAATAAATGGTTGCTTACTTGGATTAGACCTTGAAATTGTCACAGCATCACTTTCAGTTTCATACTCATCATCAACTTCCACAATACTAACTTCATACGATTCGGCTGAGGCTCCAAGATCAATTTCAATGGATTGCTCATAAGAGTGGCTGGTTGCTTTCCATATAGCATTGTTTTTGACATGGTACTTTACATAGAATTTACTTCCATGTACACAGCAATTTTTCGGTATCCATGTGATACGAACGTTACCATTTTTCGTGTCAGTTTTGTCAAGAAACTCATATGAAAACGTTGGTGTATCCGGTTTCTTTGGTTTGTTCGTGCTTTGCTTAATCACATAGTCTTTTCCTTCACCAGCCAAAGTTCTCGCAGAAATATGGAATTTATATGCTGTGTTTGGTTTCAAATCAATCAAATTTGCTTCTGTCGCACAATCATCTTCAATCGTCATCGATTGTGGTTCAGCAGCATTAACTTCATAATAATTAATTGCATATCCAATTAATTTGCCATTTGTAATTCTTGGTTTTGTCCATCGGCAACGCATTGCCGATGATCCAATTGAAGTAGCTTTAAATGATTCGACTTTCTCTGGTCGTCCTTCGGGAGTTTCAAATGAAATAATTCTGCTCGCTGTTCCATGATATTTTGTATTTTTTGCTTGAATCGTTGCTTTGTAGTGGGTAGCAAATGACAATGAAATTTGCTTTTCAGTTATGCCATATTCAACAGATTCAAACTTAGCTGACAATACATCATCAGTCCAATATTTAATTATATACCCTTTAGGTTCTCCATTGAAATGTTTAAGCGGAAGTTCATTCCATTTAAAAGTAACTAATGCCTCATCTTTATTGTCAAGATCTTCCAAACCTGCGACCATGCAATATTATTGGAACGAGAAGAGTGGGGAAAAAATGATAAAGAGAGAAGAACAAGGAAAACAGCTTGAAAAGTATTTCAGAAAGAGAAAAAAGAGTGCAAGGGAATGAACGAAACAAAAAAAAATCCATTCCGTCCATTCAAATAATATCACATTTAAGTACAATTTTTAAGCTGAATTGAAAGAATTTCCATACCTGTTACTATAAATTGACTCGGCGCTCTTGGACGACCTTCACCCGGAAGTCCACTAAGAGTTTCATAGTTTCCTGTCGATACACCCAACTTATTTCCGGCAGTAACTTTTACATTCCATTCTTCATAAGTCAAATTTTCTATGACATAGACGTTTTGTTTCCAATCGGTAATTACTTTTTGATATACTTCACCACTGTCTTTTTGCCAGGATACTGTATAAAAAAATCCGGGACCATAGTGTTCCAACTGTGGCATTGGTTTCCATGAAACGATTAAAGATTCTGTATCTCCACTCTGAATCTTTACATCGGTTGGATTCGTTTTTGGTATACCTGCTTTTGCAGTACAGATTTCGGTCGGTTTACTTGGATGGCTTGATGAACCATCTTCATATATTTCAATGACACGGAACGACTGTTTGGCACCTGGACTTAACTCAGCATCAACGAAATGTTCTGTTCTTTCTGTGAGAACACTCCACACATCTGGTTCAAATGAAGTGCTACGCTCAATGACGAAATTCTTAATATTTTGGCCATATGGTGTCCACATAATTGACATTCTATTTTCTTCGGGCTTGCAGTTGGCACTCTGTATTGTCGGCACGTCTTTGGGTGCTTCAGTTGTTGTTACAATTGGCGGTTGTGTTGTTGCGGCTGGCGGTGCAGCTGTTGGTGAGTCTGCCAGAGTGTCATATGAATCGTAGACTGTAACAAAAAAAACATCCGAAAAGCGGAGGGAAAAGGAAGAATGTAATAGAAGAAACGAACGCACGAAAAGGTTTATAAAAAGTTAAATGTGTAAAATATTTACCTAATTCATTTAGCACATCGAACGTGTCATCACGTTCCTCATATCTTATGTCATCATTTACATTTATGTATGAATCACTGTTTTCAGTTGAATCAACGGCTGTGAATTTTGAAATATTTTTTTAAAAATTAAATAGGTTTCACAAAAAAAAATGTTTTTTTTTTTAACGCGGAATAGAAAAACATTGAACCATTTTGAAATTTGAATTATGTCACATACCATAAACTTTAACTTGCTGAAAGACGAGCACTGCCAAAAACAGAGTTTGTAATTTGATGAAAGACATTTTGAAATCAAGTTCACAATTCACTTAAAATCCAATGGGAAAATCACCGTAAATCACCACTTTTGCCAATGAAATTTTCACCAAAGAACGAAAAGTATTGAACACTGTTGAGTAAATGCGGTGAATGTTATAATGAAACTGATGTATTCCAACGGATGCGACCTGTTTTATATTTTGTGATATTAAATTATTGTGTAATCAGTTAACATTTGAAGTACCCTAATTTTCCTCATCCACGACAGTACTTGACATTAATCATAAATTGTACTTGATCGAATTACTCATAAATGCCACTTGAAGCATGAACGCAATTTGCTTTTTGTTGCGTACTGAATATGTATTTGTCGTCAACTGATATGTCCTTATTCAAACCGATTCCTAGTAGTACTAATTCAACAAAATTCCAATTCAACGTGATAATGTTCTTTTCTGGTGCCTATCTGAAGATTAACAATATATTGTTTCATGCGAATCAATGACAAAGGGAATTCACATTTTCAACAACGATTTCGGTTGTTCCACAAATGGTACCTACTAGACTGGTTCAGAAAAAAGTGTACTACCATCCAAAATAGGAAATGTATGGAATTTAAAATTTTCCGAAAAATCTAGGAAGGTCTCGGAAAAGTTAAGACCAATGACAGGATGTGAAGACTTCAAGTCTCATTGAGCCGACGGTGGCGCCACCAATTTCAAAGGGGACGTCAATGTAATTTCACAACTCAAATCGAAACTAAACAGTGCGCCAATTTTAAAATTTGCTGTCATTTCCTCCCATTGGTTAAGACTCTTTAGGTCGAAAAATCACTTTAAGCCGGCCGGTCAACAGCGACTTTCAGTTGAATACATTTTGGTCATTTCCACTTAACACGGCATTTGGAAAAGACTTCAAAAACAGCACTCTACAGCGGTTGCCAGTCGAACCCACTGCCGCTGGCACAAATTTGAGCCATTTTACAATGTTATGCGTTGCCCAACTGCCACTACTGCCGTCTCCTGCCCCTTAAAGCCGCTTCAAAAATGACCATATTGCAGGCTACCAGTTGGGGTGCATGTAGATTGTCCCTTTTGAATACCTGTTTAGAATTTTCGATTCAGTACCCATTTTCAAACGTGAAAAGTAAAAAATTCGATCCGAAATTGGCATTGAGTCTTCACGTCTCTACCTCCATGTAAGTACTTAAAAATCGTTTTAACTTAACATGAAAAACCTTTCGACTAAGAAAAGATTGCTCAAATATAGTTTTTACGTTTATTGATGCAAATACACTTTTTTTTAACTAGATTAGTCTATTACGTACTCTTGTTCAAAGACATAATATAATTTAAAAGTGGTAAAATACGATGAACGCACATTTTTTGATAGTTGATTTGTCTTTACGATATATTCGATTATTTGGGCCACGTGATTTATCTTATCAATTCAAGATTAAATAATTTTCGATGTACATTCAATGTAGTAATAGAAATCAATGGGCCACACCGTTATATAAGAAATCATGGCTTTTTTCAATAATAATAGTTCGACTGTACTGTGTTTATCGACATTCTGTTTTCCTAACTTTCATTTAACGGCGCAATAAAAACCAAATCAAGTCACCAGCTTCAATCGAATCGTTTTATGATCGAATGACCGGATTATATTCGGTAGCTTTATGTCTGATGTCTGAAATAGCATTTTTGATAATAAGCAATATTGTGTAAGTTCAATCAAAACCTTCACACTTTTGTGATTATTTTCGAGCGTCAAGGTTGAAATCAAGCTTTCAATCAATATTAATACGCATTTCGCAAATAACCAATAAATTCATAATCTTCGAACGTTTTTTTTTTTCAGTTTTTTGTGAAATGTTTTTATCGCATATTCGTAAAAAATGGAATGGTTTTAGTAAATAGATATCATAGTTCCACTTATGTACTTCTAGCAAAAAAAATATCCGAATGCTTACCAGGGCTGTAATTTTCACTCTGTCAGTGCACTCAAACAGTAGTGTGCACACTCACATCCTATGTGCGTCGCACAGAATGCTTGTATTTTGAAGGTGCACGCACACTTAGTCACAAGTTTGACATTTTTGGCGGTTGGCAAATTTGTAACTAAGTGTGCGTGCACATTCAAAATACAAGCATTGTATGCGACGCACATAGAATATTGTACACTACTGTGTGCTTGCACTGACAGAGTGAAAATTACAGCCCTGATGCTTACGTCAGTCACGTAAGACAAAGGGCGCCACGAAATGGAGATTCCAAAATTCGATTGTTACGGTCGTGTTCATTTGTTTATTTCAGCAAATTTATTTCGCAAAGAATCAAATACAAATAAACAAAATTCACTTATCTAAAATTACTTAAACGGCTAAATCGGGATAGTATCTCTTAAAAATGAAACACTTGACAAAGATGGCAATTAGACCAAGTGCAGATAAGGCTATGACTACTATGAATACTGCTATGACTTTGGGGGTAACAAAACCTTCCTTTCCTGTTTCGACATCTGGACCTGCTGAGAAACACATGAGTTCATTTCAAGTTTCACGATATTTTATGGAAAAATTCGATTGAAAAATAAACGACTTGATATTTACCTGAGATAGCCTTTGGATATTGTTGCGTGTCACTCACACTTTCAAATCGACCATCTAATACAACAATAATAATATCATATACTGTATCTGGTATCAAATCGATGGTGTGGAAATTCTCATTCACGATTTGGTCGGTTCGCTCGAATTTTTCGGTGCCACTAACGCGATACTTCACATAAAATGTACTTCCGGGATTACCCCCCGCTTGTGGTGTCCAAATCACTTGAACCGTACCATTATTTGGATCTACGGGCTTCAACCAAAATGATGGTTTATTCGGTTGAGATGCTTTTTTTGTCTTTTCTTCCACATAATCACTGGAATCAGGAAAGAAAATCAATAATAAACCCCATTGAAAATTTGAAATGAAAAATAAATTATTACTCTTTTCCTTCACCAGCGTCAGTTCTGGCGGCCACATGGAAGCGGTATGTAGTTTCTGGTTTCAGTCCACTCACTTTGGCTTCAGTTATATTTGGATTGTTGATTTGTGGTATGCGTTGTTGCTCCTTTCCATTGATTTCTTCATAGTAAATATTATATCCAGTTAACTGACCGTAGTACTGACTTTTTACAGGCTTTGACCATTTGAGCAAAACTGCCGACGATCCTTGTGAGCTGGCTTCTAGGTCAAGTACTTCATTTGGTGTTCCCGGTGGTGTCATGAATGTAATTATTTTGCTAGTTGGTCCTAGGAATAATTTGTTGACGGCTTGAATGTGAGCATTGTAGACAGTATTTGAGTACAGGTTAATTGTGGTTTCATTTGTGCCATATATCGGCGATAAATTGGATGTATCATACAGTGTATAATGTTGAGTCCAAATTTGAATTTTATATCCGCTGGCAAAACCATTGAAAGATTCAATTGGCAATTGTTTCCAAGTGAAGGTAACTGATGCACGATTTCCATTCATTGTTTTGATAGCTGTGATGGAGAAAAGATACGAAAATTGATGAAAAAAAATGCATTACTTGACCAAAGAAAAATCGTACCTAAAATCTTAAACTCATTTGGTGCGAAGAATGGTCGTCCTTCACCTGAATAGCCAGATATAAGTTGAGGTACAGCTTTCGATTCACCCAATTTATTGACCGCTATCACCTTAGTTTCATATTGCTGGTAAGGTTTGTTTGTGTGCTTTTCAATTTGGGTTTCTTTCCAATCAACGGTGTCTTGTACATTCCAATCGAAACTTCCAGTTTTTCTCCATGATACTCGATAGAAAAATCCCGCACCGTGGTGTTCTATTTCCGGCATTCTTTTCCATGAAATTATAAAAGAACCAGGTGATGTACCCTTTATATTTACATTGGTTGGATTTGTGTATGGGATGTCTGGTTTGCTTGAACATGTGCCACTTGGTTCACTTGGTGGGCTCGATTTTCCATTTTTATATGTTTGAATTACACGAAATGAAAATGTGGCTCCTGGACTCAATGAAACTACGTGAGATGTTTCACTAATTTTATCAGCGAAAACACTCCAAACATTTGGTTCGAATGAAGTGCTGTACTCAATGGTATAGTGCTTAATATCTGCAGTATTGCCACTTTGTTCCCAGGAAATTGTTGCTTTCTTTTCGCCACATTTCAAATCTGTTATTTTCGGTGCATTTAGTGGTGGATTTGTCGTAGTTTCTGGGACAGAACTTGTGGTTTGTGCTTGTGTTGTTGTCTCCACTGTTGGTGTTGTCGTTACTATTGTTGTTGATGGCGGCACATGTAATGTGGCTGGTGTGTTTGTTGTTGATGGGATTGGTGGTGATGTTGAAATAACCTCTATTGGGATATACATATTGATGAATAATTGAGGTAGTAAGCATTGAATACAATAATTTTATTTAAATGTTTTTGAATGTTAAGATTAAACGCTTTTAAAATGTTACCTGTTGTTGATTGGATTGGTGGCTGTGTTGTTGCATGATTTTCTCCTGGATTTCCAACGATAACTTGAGGTTCAGCTTTCGATTCACCCAAATCATTTCTAGAGAAAACAAAAATTGAATTGTAATTTGTATGGTACTGGAGGTTTGGTTCGATTTGTATCGATAACTCACCCTGCTACAACTTTTATTTCGTAATTAACATCGGATAATATTTTGATAATATATTGATCTTGTTTCCAATTAGTAATGGTGACTTCCTTTTTCCATATTTTAAATCCTTCCTTTCTTCGGTAAATGAGGTAGAAGAAACCAGGTGCGTTATGTTCCAATTGTGGCATTGGTGTCCACGAAACGAGTAAAGT